TTAGAAACTATTCGGATGTATCACATCCTCTTAACCTCCTCAACAGTAGTAAACGTCCTTTTAATTGGAATAAAGATGCTCAAACAGCCTTCGACGAATTAAAAAAAAGATTTACAACTGCACCTATTCTACAACTACCTAATCCAACATTCCTATATGTTCTTGAAGTTGATGCATCAGATGCAGCCATCGGAGCAGTTCTTTCTCAACAAAAGACTCCACAAGATCCACTTCATCCAGTTGCCTTTTTTTCAAGATCCTTGAGCTCTGCTGAAAAAAATTATCCTATTGGTGAAAAAGAATTATTAAGTGTTAAAGCTGCCTTCGAAAATTGGCGTCATCTTCTGGAAGATACAAAACAACCTATAATAGTTTATACTGACCATAAAAATCTTGAATATCTCTATACTAACAAAACCCTTACAGCTAGACAAGTTAGATGGAACCTATTCTTTAACCGATTTAACTTCCAATTAATATACAGACCTGGAAATAGAAATAAAAAGGCTGACGCTCTTTCTCGAATTCCTTCTAAAACTACTACTGATGATTATCCTTCTACCAAAATAATAGGAATCCTCTCTTCTCTTCATGATGACATAAATAATTTGAATCAGAAGGATCTTGAACTTCCCAAAACACCTATACTAACAAAAAAGGATGGTCTATTTTATTTTAAAAATAGAATTTATATTCCTCCCATTCTTAGGAATAAATTACTTAAGATGGTTCATGATTCCCCCCTAGCTGGACATCCTGGAATAAAGAAAACACTTGAACTAACTTCACGATATTATTGGTGGCCTCGCCAGGATAGAACCATTGCATTATATGTCAAAACATGTCCTATCTGTCAAAGGTCTAAACCAGAACATAATCAACCTTTTGGATTACTACTTAACTTACCTATTCCAGAAAAACCTTGGCAATCCATTTCTATGGATTTTATCGTTGATCTTCCACCTTCTCAACATTTCACCACTATTCTTGTCGTTGTGGATCGCTTCACAAAAATGTCCCATTTCATTTCTTTAAAAAAATTACCCTCCTCTGTAGAATTGTCTAAGGTCTTTATTGACAATATTGTGAAACTTCATGGTCTTCCTGAAGAAATTATTTCTGATAGGGGGACACAATTTACCTCCAAATTCTGGAAAGAGATGTGTCTCTCCCTTCAAATTCAACGCAAACTCTCTTCCGCTTATCATCCCCAAACTAATGGGCAAACAGAAAGGGTTAACCAATGTTTGGAACAATATCTTCGATGTTATTGTTCATACCTCCAAGATGACTGGACCACATGGTTACCTATGGCCGAATTTTCTTACAATAATACCATTCATTCTAGTACGAAAATGACTCCTTTCTTCTCCAACTATGGTTTTCATCCGTCTTCATTCCCCATCCAAACCATTACTTCATCCAATCCTACTGTTACATCAAAAAATGAATTTATGTCTTCTCTATTTTTCAAATTACGGGAGAATCTTCAACTCGCCCAAAATAACCAGAAAAAGTTTTTTGACAATAATAGAAGAATTCCCCCTCCTTACAAGGTAGGGGATCTTGTCTGGCTCTCTTCAAGGAATATTACCACAAGCCGTCCTTCAAAGAAATTGAGCTCTCTTTTTCTTGGTCCCTTTCAAGTAATTACTATCATTAATGATAACGTTGTTAAACTAAAACTTCCTCCAAGTTTTAAACTTCATCCAGTATTCCATGTCTCCTTACTTAAACCACACATCCCTGATCCTTTTTATAGGGAAATAGTAACAACTCCTGAACCTATCATTGTCCAAGGTGAAGAAGAATATGAAATTCACAAAATTTTGGATTCTCGTGTCCACCGTGGCTCCTTACAATACCTTATCAGATGGAAAGGTTATGGAGTTGATGAAGACACTTGGGAAGATTCATCTAATGTACATGCTAGGAGGTTAGTTACTGCCTTTCACAAACGCTATCCCTCCAAACCGAAATAGTGCACCCAGAGGATGCCCCATGGGAAGGGGGTACTGTCAGGTATAGCATGGCATGTAATTTATCGCCGGAACCCACTTCCGGGTTCACGGCGCTCAGCCCCGCCCCTTTCTCTGACGCGGTCCCTCCACGATACTTAGGAGGACCGCGCCAGATTCAAAGGGCTGAATTATTCGCACAGGTGCTGCATGAAGATCAGCTGCTCTACTTCTGATCCTACCTGCTCCACTTCTATACCTCGGCTAGTAAACGGATTTCTACCTTCTCCACTTCTCGACCTCGGCTTGTAAACGGATTTCTACCTTCTCCACTCCTAGACCTCGGCTTGTAACTCTGAATTCTACCTTCTCCACTCCCAGACCTCGGCTTGTTAAAACGGACTTCCCCACTCTCCACTCCTAGTTCTCAGCTTGTTGAAACGGACTTCTAATTTCTCCTTCATTGGGTGAATTAACCCTTCCAGTGCCAGAACTGCCTTTAAGTTAAGTAATACTTTTACCAAACAAGTCAATTACTATTATTTATATTACACAGTATCTAAAACTCACTAAAGTGTCACTTTGTCTAATTATTCCTCTTACTCATAAGGGATTGCTACAAAGCCTAATTTTACCTACATGGATATTTAAAGGTACAGTGACCATAGTTTCATACCAATATAAAAGGAGGTGAACCTTATTGTTGTTGCAACCAAGAAATGCTGCAGTTGAGTTCCAATTAAAGAAATATTACAAAATAAGTATTACAGGTGGGTAGGTTTGACACAATACCCCAAATAATGTATTTGTAAATATAATAAAGTATATCAGCCTTACAATACAATCCGGTGAACTCCTGCATTACCTGCTTCCACCTAAAGAAGAGTTGAGCCCCCCTTAATTAGCACATCTACTATTATATTGAGAATAGAGACTATTATTACCCAATTGATGGTATTCATTTATTGGCCTCACGTTGAGTTGACCCTGCCAGGATTTTAACCTATAATCTTACATTTTGTACAGGCTCTGGAAGTCATTGGCATTTGACAACTTTCTCATGCATTGGCTTCTCTTTTGTTTTATTTCCTTATCCAAGTCCCCCCAAGTGAAAGACAGAACAGGTTTAGTATCATCATAGTATACCCCTGCTGTTGATATCTGGGCCTAGACTTTTTTGGCTCTACCCCATGTGAGTGTATCCAGTATTCACCAAACACATCCACTGATTTTAAAATATAATACTGTACACTATATATGCTTTTTTTTTGTCCTAGCTACCTTTTTATATACTTTCCCCTTTGTATAATGGTAAGTGTGTACATTTCTAGCATCCCACTGGGTTTACTTGCCGTGATTCTCTAGCCATTCAGTGTACTCTGTTTATTATATCCTGATTTAAGGGAGCACTGCACAGCTCCTAAAAGTGTGACTGTATTACTACTGAGTATTTTGTACATCTGACCTCTGGCACGACTCCCAACATTTTCCTAGTCTTATAAGGTGAATCTCTTGTTTGCAACTAGGTGAAGAGAGGGCAACTTTGGATAGGAAAATTTTAATATAAACATCAACCAAATATTTAATATTAATCTATGTTTATTACAATACATTTGACTCAGCAATGGTGTTTCCAAGTGTCAGGTATATTTCAACATCAATGCTAATTCTTCTAATAAAAGAATATATAAGGATGATTAACATTACAATTGAAGATTATGCTAGCTTCAGTGTACAGATAATCTTAATTTTAATAATGACAGGAGGCGAGTATTTTGCATAATCTTTCTTTACTAACTCCATAGCAGCAAAGAAAAGAGTGACATAACTGAGAACCAATCACAATGCAGTATAGAGTATAAGAGGTGTAACGTATGACATCATTTCCTCTTTAAAGCATGCGACATCACAAGATCACAATGCAGAAACAATAAAGATAACGTATAACATGAAAATAGAACATAAACGTATGAAGAATTCTTGACAGGGACGAGTTCTTGGTGTCAAGTGACGAACTTCCATGACAAGATGATGATGATATCTTGAAGGAAGTCTGCAGTGTCCTGATTCATCTGGTTAAACTGAAACGAGAATGTAAAAGGGTATTAGATTCCGGAGATGGTTGTGTAAAACAACAAGATGTCTATCCCTTATGATTAAGTAACCATCATACTGCAATAGAGCGAATACATTCCACCCATCTATTGATGCTACCTAAGCCATCCCACCCATATGAAATATCTGTATTAATCGTAAGAAGACAACTTAGGCATTTAGCACAAAAACATGTGAATAAAGAGATAGAAATATACGTGAAGACAGAGGTGGGGAAGAGCGAAAGAGCAGGGTGGGAAAATACTCGCCTCCTGTCATTATTAAAATTAAGATTATCTGTACACTGAAGCTAGCATAATCTTCAATTTTATCACATGACAGGAGGCTTCGTATTTTGCAATTTCAACGCTGAGTAAGTAGAGCAAAAGCTGGGTTAGATGGAGGACGGAAATAGAACGTCCTAAAGGTGGATTCTCTGGTCCAGTCCGCCGCTCGTAAAATATCTTGAAGGGAGGCCCCCGCTGCGTAGGCAGAGGAGGCCGCGGCCCCTCGGACTGAGTGTGCACCAAAAGCCTGGTCTATCCCGGCGAGGGCTAATAGCCATCTAACCCATCTGGCCAACGTAGTAACCGAGACTGGAGCGTAGGGGCGGACGTAAGAGATGAGAAGTTGGCGATTGGAAGTAGGCCGCAACGTCGCGGTGGCTTCCACATATCGACGAAGAGTAGAGACCACACAGAGTTGTGGGTCTGAGGGAAAAAAGGGGTAAAAAACAGAGGAAGAGTCAGATTTCGTGCGTCTAGAGATCTGGAAGGTTACTCCAGCTGGGCAGAAGGTAAATGCGTCGGCATCGAAAGCGCGTACATCGGACACCCGACGAAAGGAGACTAGGCAGAGTAGGAAGGTGAACTTTGCCGTAAGCTGGCGGAGTGACAAGTTCTCATTAGGGGGCCAGTCCCGTAAAAACTGTAAGACTATGCCAACGTCCCAGAGTCTCGAGTATTTGGGTTCCGGGGGGCGCCGAAGGCGCATGCCACGGAGGAGTCTACAGATGAGTGGGTTCTGGCCCACTGGTGTCCCTTGAATAGGCGTATGAGCCGCTGAGATGGCTGAACGTATCACGTTGATGGACCGGTATGACTTCCCGGTTGTGAACAGAGAGGTGAGGAAATTCATGATGGAGGGAATAGGTGCCGTAAAGGGATTGAGATCCCGTCCCAGACACCAAGTGGTCCAGCAGTGCCATGCTGATAAGTAGCACCTCCTTGTTCCTGGCGCCCATGAGTCCCATAGGAGCTCTCTAGTTTCCTGCGATAAATCCTCGGTTCGCCAGGAACCCCTGAAAGAGTCCAAGCCACCAGGGGCAGTCGGCCCTCCTGGACCAGCGGATGGGGAAGTCCCATCGGGTTCCTGAGAATGGATGGAGTATCTGGTAAGAGGAGGGGATCCTTGTTCGATAGTTCCAGAAGATCCGGGAACCATGGTTGGCTTTGCCATAGAGGTGTGATGAGGGTCAGTATCACCCTCTGCCTGCGGATTCGGTGGAGAACCCTCGTAATCATCGAGAATGGAGGGAAGGCGTAAGCCCCGTGTTGTGGCCATTGTTGCAGAAACGCGTCGGTTGCTAGACTCTCCGGATCTGGGAGCCAACTGAAGAAGTCCTTCGTCTGACGGTTGTTGCGGGAGGCGAATAAGTCCAGGGAGAAGGGGCCCCTCTGTGTATCTAGCATCGTGAAAACGCGAGGGTCTAGTTGCCAGTCGCTGGCGTCCCTCCAGTGGCGTGAGTACCAATCTGCTGTCGTGTTGGTCTCTCCTGGTAAGTGTTCCGCTAATAGCGTGATGTTGCGAGGCAGACAATAATCGAAGATTTCCTTCGTGAGTTCTACTAATGCTTGGGAGCGGGTGCCTCCGAGTCGGTTGATGTATCTTACCGCCGAGACGTTGTCCATCCGGAGAAGGATGCAGCAGTTGGATCGTTCTTTTGCCAGACTGCGAATGGCGAACGATCCCGCCAGGAGCTCCAAACAGTTGATGTGCATCGAAAGTTCTTGGGGAGTCCACACTCCCCCCGTGGAGGAGGTGCCGTCTGTTGCTCCCCAACCTGAGCGGCTGGCGTCTGACTCCAATATGAAGTCTGGTTGATTTCCGAATATCGCCCGGCCATTCCAAGCCTGCATGCAGTTCAGCCACCAGTGCAGTTCCTCCCGAACTTCGTCCGACATGGGGACCGGTTGGTCGTATGTTGGGTCTTTGCGAAGGAACTTTGTCTTGAGGCGTTGCATGGCTCTGTAATGCAGGGGTCCAGGAAAGATGGCCTGGATGGATGACGAGAGCAGGCCCACTATTCGTGCTAGTAGACGTAAAGGTATGGATGTCAGTCGAAGTACCTTCCGAATTTCTCTGCGGATGGTGGCAATTTTTGCGGCCGGGAGGCGTAGCGTGCACGATATTGAGTCTATCTCGAACCCAAGGAATTCGATCGACTGAGCAGGAGTCAGAGATGACTTGGGGCCGTTGATAACGAAACCCAGTGAGTCGAGGAGGTGTACAGCGTAGTCTGTATGTCTCTTTAGGGTCCTTGCATCCTCGTCGAATATCAAGATGTCGTCGAGGTAGACGATGCATCTTATGCCGTGGGCCCTTAGTCTCGCCATTACCGGCTTCATCATTTTGGTGAAACACCATGGGGCCGAACTGAGGCCGAACGGGAGACAGGTGAATTGCCAAGGTGTCCCGTGCCAGTAGAAGCGGAGGTATGAGCGGCTCCTTTCGTGCACCGGTATGGTAAGGTATGCGTCCTTTAGGTCTAGACGCGTGAACCAATCGTTGTCTCGCAGTAGGTCCCGGAGAAGATGGATACCCTCCATTTTGAAGTGGCGGTACACCACAAAGGAATTGAGCTCCTTGAGGTTGATGACGGGACGGAATTCCCCAGTTTTCTTCCTGACTAGGAAGATATTGCTGTAGAACCCGGTTGAGTCCGGAGCTGGTTGGATGGCACCCTTGGCGTGTAAGTCCTGAAGTTCCATGTCTATCAAAGAAGCGTCTGCCCGTGAAAACTGAATCGGGCGAGGTGGTGCCTGTTGGAGTGGCCTCGTCTCGAATTCTATTTGATAGCCCCGCACCGTCCGAAGTATCCATGTGTCGGAGGAGAGGTCTGCCCAATTCTGGAAAAAAAGAGAAACACGACCTGCGATATGGCAAGGGGTTAGAGGCAGTATAGAATGGTAACTTACCGTTGGAGAATCTCGCTCGGGAGCGTCCTCGGCCGCCACGGCCACGTTCCGATCCCCTGAACTGATGGAATCGATGGCGTGCAGATGGATCTGTGTAGAATGGTTGCGACCTAGTTGTGCGGGGGCCGGATGGCCAGAAGCGGCTGGTGGCACGGCCCCTCTGCCGACCAGCCCTCCCAAAAACACCACGGGTGTTGTGGCCGCGGAACACTTTCCGCATTGATGTTTGTGCCTTATTGAGGGAAGTGAATATGTTGACTCTCTTATTAAGCTCAGTAAGGAAGGCCTCGCCAAACAGTTTGCCCTGTGCCAAAGGGCCTAATTCTTTATCCCCCAGTTCGACAAGCTTGTCATCGATTCTGAAAAGTGCTGCTCGGCGCCTCTCCGAAGAGAGGGCCACATTAGTGTTCCCGAGGAAACAGAAGCACCTTTGTGCCCACTCTCGGGTATCTCGTGCCCACTCACGCACCATATCTGGGGAGAAGTCATCAGCCCTTTCATAGGCATCATCTGCCATATCCATGATCCTCGCCAAAGGCCCGATGGCATCTAATAGTTTGTCCTGAGCTCCCTTGAAACCACGTTCCACACCCTTGCGTGGGTCCCGACCCCCGCGGGACATGAATGTGGTCATAAGCGGGTCGAATTCGGGGGTGTGTGCTACCTTATCTGGTAGGCTCGGGCGAGGACATTCAGATCTCATACGCTTTCTCACTTCTTTGTCCAGAGACTTCCGGAGCCAGAAGTGCATGAATCTGGTCAAGTGTTCGGGTGGTGTCCATTCTTCCGAACGGGGATGGCGAATGTTCCTAGGATCGAACATTCGGGCCAGAATTGTCCAAAAATATTTCTGAACCCTCTTGTGGGATGTCTAGGGATGTGGTCCCGGAGTCCTGGGGCTCACCCAGGGTCTGTTCCCCTATAAAGTAAGGGTCCGATTTGGCAGCGGAGTAGTCGGATTCCTCTTGGTCGGAGGCTGCCGCCTGCCATTCGTCAACCACGGCTAACGCGTGTGAGGGACCTGCGTCCTCTTCCCCAGAGGAAACCTGAGCGGGTTTTTGTGATGATTTGCTTGTGTCTCGTCTGCGTTTAGCAGGGGCCTTTCCTTTGGATTTACGTGGTCCCATAGCCTCGCCTTTCCAATGGCGCTTAGGGGGGTGGGAGCGTTCCCTGGAGGAATCGGAGTCTTCCGAATCCGCCCCATAATGAGCCCGTTTGGGAATGGGCTTAGATGCGTCTTGTTCCAATTGGAACGACTTAGCCAAAGCTTTTTCCATGGATGCAGCAACCGCTGCTGCAATCATGGCCTGGAGATCTGAGGGATTTTGGGATTCTTCCATGTTGTTAATCACACCGGGGCTCACCCGGTGAATATGCGTGAGGGCACTTGTGGTACTTGTGGCACAAAATGGGGAGGCCTGGGGACCAGGGGGTGGTGTAGAATAGGTAGTGGTTAACCTGAAAGCGCTATGCGACTGGTAGGTCAAGCGAGGGCTGTCGCTGGGGCTCACCCAGGAATTTGGAATCCTGCATAAACAGGTCCTTTCAGCAGCACATGAAAGGGGGCTCACCCCTGCCAGAATAAGGGTATTCCCACTGGCTGAAACCGACCCCAAGTGCAAAGCACTAACCTGATACTGGTCCCACAGTGAGCTGATAAGGCTGCAGAGTTCAAAGAGTATTCCAGAGTATTTGTGCAGTAATAATAGGCTGGAGTAGTAAGCAGGATAGTAGTAGCCGTTTAAAATGGCCGCCGGACTGAAAGCAGAAGGAAATGGGAGGTTTTAGTACCTCCCCTAGATGTTTTGAGCGGCAAAAAATTACCCGAACGGCGGGCGTTCGCGCTTACGAATCAGCCGAACGGAAGCGTTCGGCTAATACGCACGAATGCAAGCGCCTAATAAGAGACGTTCGCGGGAATTTGCCGAACGCTAGGCGTTCGCAAAGGGAACAAGTCTATGCGAACAGAAGTGCCGTTCGCGAAAAAACGTGCGAATGACGATAAGGCGGGAAAGAAACCCGCGAATTAACTGACACTAGGAAGTATAGGTGAAAACGGCGAAAATGCCGTTAAGACTCCCTGAAAGGGGGGTAAGCCAAATAAAAGCAGTGGAAAAGGTCCCAGAGCTAGAGGGGTGGGGGGAAGCCCCCAAAGGTAACAATACAGAAGCACTAAAATAACATAATGAATAAATGTAATAGAAATAGAAAAATTAGACAGTAGTTCTTAAATATAGATGACAAATAGTGTAAGGACAGAGAGGAAAACCAAGTCTGTACTTATCTTGTGATGGAGCAGCAAAGAAAGAGGAAATGATGTCATACGTTACACCTCTTATACTCTATACTGCATTGTGATTGGTTCTCAGTTATGTCACTCTTTTCTTTGCTGCTATGGAGTTAGTAAAGAAAGATTATGCAAAATACGAAGCCTCCTGTCATGTGATAAAATTATATATTTAGCGCCAATACACTCTGCAGGGCTGTACAATAGGTAAACAAGACACAGATGTATGAATGCTTACAAAACATGTTTGACATACTGGAACAGTAGGATAAGAGGGCCCTGCCAAAACAAGTTTGCAATGTAAAAAAGTATTCCTTCACATCTTCTTTACATCATCTCATGTATGGCACTCTACTTAAAATCAGTGCTTTCTAATATCAATGCTTAGTTATCTTAAGTCTTCCAATTTTTTGCTTTTACATCTATATCTTACATAATTATATACTATCCCATTAGGTTTCTAAAATTATTGATCTTATCTATGCTCAGTGGACCTGCTTTTTGTTCTAGTTTAATTTGTGTCCCTGCCACAGATTTCCTTATTCTAAACCCTGCTTTTTATTGGGTGCTTTAGTGGCTTTGTCTAAGCACCTCTATTTATGACCTAACAAAGGCACAGTTGGACCTAATGTGTGGAGTACTTATATCACAGGTCACTTCTCATCATGTGTATGCTTCATGGACGGTAGC